CACTACCTGACATATCTTTGAAAAGTCATGAGCTAGACAGCAAATTTGTGTGCAAAGAAACAGCAAAACATTGATCCAGACATAAGTTGTTTCGCTGGTTCGCTGATTTTTTCGCGAAACGATAAAAAACCGCGCCTGCAACTAGCTTGTTCAGCGGTTTTGAAAATATTTAGTGACCAGTCTTTTACCAGTCCCGATCCCGTCCTTCCTCAAAATGGCGGAAGAAATGTATAAAATTTCAATTTTACTGAACGGTTATGGCTACACAGACGCCGAAAAACAGGTATAGAGCGAACGGAACATGCACTTTAATCACTGGAAACGATCTCAAAATTATCGTCGACACTGGAAGCCCGCGGGATAAGGAACGCCTGCTCGAAAAGTTGAAGCAACACAAGATCGTTCCAGAGGACGTGAATTTTGTGGTATGCACTCACGGTCACGTGGACCATGTTGGAAATTTGAATCTATTTCCCAACGCCGTTCACATGGTGTCTCATGATATTCTTCAAGGACAGGATATTTACGTCGATCCACCCGAAAACTTCGACAAAGGCGTACCATATTGTATTGATGGTGAAAATGTCCAGGTCATTTCTACACCTGGTCATACCCACTCGGATGTTACCGTTGTAATTACAGGCACGGAGTATGGAACAGTTGCTGTCTGTGGCGATTTGTTTGAACATGAAGACGATGAGAAGTTGTGGGCAGAATTCAGCGAATGCCCAGAGAAACAGCGAGAAAACAGAAGACGAGTGCTGGAGATTGCAGACTGGATTGTTCCTGGTCATGGTAAAATGTTTAAAGTGAATGTAGCGTTGGGCCGATCCTCGTAAGGATAGTCACAGGGTCGGAGCTAATCAACCACAGCTTACTCAACAACTTTATTGGCACTTAAACTACGGAAGAAGAAGTTCATGCATTGACGTAAATTACTATACATGGTACATTAAAGGAATCCCAGGGGGAACTCTCATATCAAAGTGACGGGGGTGATCGTCACTTTCTGGGTGTGGCTCAAATTCATTTTCACCCCTAAGAGGTACAAATTCTAAAACAAAACTGTAGTTTCTATCCTATATTTTTTCAGGCTTAATTCCCGAAAGGTACCGGGATAAATCTGGCGCCTCTGATACCATTGAATGATCCTTTCTTATTATACGACATAGCATTTTAGAGTGCGAATACACACAAAGACGAGTGCAAATATGAGACCGTATTACACTGGTCTTAGTCCCCCTGACCGCACGCTACGGAAAACACTGTTGAAAGCCTATATTTTAGGAAAGATATTATGTCGTATAATAAACAATTTATTCAGCGGAAAGTTGTGTAATACGGCTGGGTATTTTTCACTCGTCAGTGTTTATTTGTTCGAGCCTAAAGGCTCGAAAAAATAAAAACTGACTCGTAAAAATACCCAGCCGTATAACACAACTTTCCACTGAATAACCTCTAATAATATTGACATTATTCTAAGATTCAGTTATAGATGTAAATTTGGCCAAAATATCAACTCTCACTACTGATTGCAAAAAACAATTATTTTAAATTAGGCGAGCAATTTAAATTAATAATCATGGGTTGCAAAAATGTGACTTTGGCTTACAATGATGCCGGATAATTTATTAGCCTTTTATTTAAGTATAAATGTGCACTCTAACAAAGTTTTTTTAGACCACAATAATAAGACTGATAAGAAACGACATATTTTAGATGTGCCATTTTATTATTTTTATCTATTTATTTTATCAGTATTTAATTTGAAATTTAGTGTTCTCAATAATTTTTAGCTGTGCATGTATAGCTAAACATTAGTATTATCAAAGTTATCACAGTGGAACCCTGCTTTACGGACACTCGTTAATATGGACACCCGCTTATTACGGACAGTTTTGTTTGTCTCAACGACACATATTTTCTCTTATATCAGCCCGCTTAATACGGACACCCGGATAATACGGGTGTCTGTATTAACCGGGTTCCAAGTCAGCTTGAAAAAAAATGAGCAACGGGATGGAAAAATATTTTTCTTTTGTATTCCATGACTTGTATAACACAAGATAACAAAATTGATAACAAAACACTCAATTATAACAATTTAAAAATGCAACAGTGGTTTTCTGATATTTATAAAATATTAATCAAACAGTGTAACTTTTTGGAGAGAAAATATGTTGGGCTCACTTTTTGCAAACTCGCCCCCATAGTTTCAACTGCTTTTGTGGACTTGTGAAACTGAAATACAAAGAACAAACCAGGCCAACGAGTACTGTAATGATTGTGCATTTAAATAACAATAAAAACATTAAATATTAATGCTTTTATGTTGCATTCAACCTTGAATATGATCAATATCTCCCAGACAAACAAAAGACTTTCACACTTCGTTAATTTTAAAATCTATATTGGGGGCCAACACAAATGTGCAGAATCATCGAGCAAAGAATCGAATATTCCACATTTACTTCCATTTACGGTTATATCGACACTGAAGGCAGTCTATAGAGAGACATAATTTTGAATCAAACTAATACAGATCGAAGAAGGCATAAATTACAATAAATTCCTTGTAACAAAATAAATCGAAGTGATCGTGTTGTTGTTTGTGATCTTGCTCCGTGTTCGAAATTTCAGTTCATTGTCGGAATGATCAGGTATAACTTGCTGTTCACACAGTGTTCACATAATCAAGTCGAAACAGATCAAAGTAAAACTATGTGTTTCTTCTGCGTTCGTGACTTGGCGCACAGTCTTCCAACTCCCGGTCGAACTACAACACTACAAAACAATGGAACGTCTTGAAAAGCAGAAACAAGGCTCCCGTAACTTTTATATATGAGTTTTAACATCCAGGTCGACCGTTCACCATGTTAGTAGCGGCTGCATAGGGAAGCTTTACGCCATGTTCCATGAGAAAGTTTGTAAAGTCTGTACACGGTTTACAACAAGCCGAGAACGGTGAAAAGATCGCGTACAACACTGCAGCTAAAATTCCAAGAGGCCAGGCTAGACAGATCAAAATAAGCAACCAGATGAAAGACCACAGCCATCCGCAGTTAGCCATTTTGAGAAGCGAAGAGGCTTAGTACTGGAAATCAGCTTAAAATCTTCAAGAGTGAAAATTCTCGTAGCGGAAAATGTGATGTGATACTAAGTATCCACCCAGAAAAGTAGGCTGGGCCCGGCAGCCTATGCAAACATGTTTTACATATTTGCTGTATTTGACAGTCTGACATGCACATAGCTCAATTGGCTACAAATGATCAGCTGATGTCACGCGATCTACTGAAGACAAATTCAAAGTGAATACATGGTGAATATGAAGAGAAAATGAGGAATGTTGAAAGAAATTCACGCTAGAAATGCGTTTTCCCCGTTTTAATAACACTGCCGGATTTAATACAGACAGTTTTATGACTCCGTGGCAAATCCTGAGTTTGGGAAAATAGACAAATATCGTGTGTAACGCAACTCAAATGTGTACTTGGTCACGTTACAAGTACTCCTTTACTCTACTCTATTTTTCGCGCCGCTCCCGAGTGCTAACAGCCAAGATAGTCGTCTGTTTAAATATGACAATACGACGCGTTGAAACTATAACGTGTAAGCAAAAATCTCCTGACGGTCACTGACCGTCAGGAGATTTTTGAAATGTTTTATTTTTTATTCATTTTTTTTTTTTTTCTCTTCGAAATTGTGTAATCTTTTTGCATCGTGTATAAAAACATGGTTATGGCGTACATAAAAGACATAAAACGGCCGCTTCTTGTTAACATAGCCTTTGGTCCTTATGCGAACACTCGAGAAAGTTGGGGAGAATTCGAAATTACTTATACAAACCCGCGCCTGTGGCTGGATCAGGCTACGTAAAGCGCGCGTTGCCTTAGTTTCTTTGCAATCGTTCCCAGAGCCCGCGCTGGCTTATATCCAGCTACCTTACTCGTACTAATTTTCGCGGGACTTAATTTTCGCGATTTTCAAAAAATCGCGAAATTGAATGAAAATTAACGACGCGAAATTGAATACCACGTAGCTACAGGATGGGAGAAAGCAGGAGTCACTGAGATAGTAAAGGGCGAGTCAGCTCGTCCTCCCGAGGACCCATTTGAAGAGTTGACAATGTCATTCAGCTGTATTAATGCAGGAGTCAATGTTAACCCCACCCCCCCCCCCCCCACCCCGGGACAGGGTGGGGATTTGAAAAAAACCCTCAATCAAATGTTGTCAAATTCCCCCAGCCCTGGGGATGCTGTCCACTTACAAAAGTCTTAAAATTCCCCCACCCTTAAAGAACGCTTTCCAGTCCATGATCTGTGGAGAAAGGCAAACAAATTTCGACTTTTACCTTTAGCCTTCGAGTTTTATATAATGAATCAAACTCGCAGAACTCTAGCTATGTTTAAATCAAACTTCATCGCAAAAATATGATCGGGCGTAAAGGAAATATGCAAAAAAAAACATCCTAGCTTGCACATGAATGTTCATTCTGTGTATTGTTTCGCTTTTAGATGGTGGATGGCCTAACTCACCTGAGCTGTCTCAAACGAACATGGGCTCTGTCTCGATATGAACAACCGCTGATACCACATCAGCAGGCGCTGTACAAATCCCCACCTATTCCCCGTACCCAGGGGACAGATAAATACTAAAAATTGCTAATCCCCTACACCCTCGGGCACGGTTTTTGTTTAAAACCCCCATATTTCCCCTGTAATCCCCACCCTGTCCCGGGGTGGGGGGTGGGGGTTAACATTGACTCCTGCATAAGTGCAAAGATACGGTATGTCATGCACCCTTGTATAACTCTGCTTTGTTGCAAACGAACATGTCAAACTGTTTTCAGTTTCGTTTTGTTATGTGGTTCCGTTCAGTGTCATTAACTGTTTATTTTCGCGAAATTTAGTTCCTTTTAACTTATTTGTTTGCCAAATCGCGAAATTTAAGTCCCGCGAAATATGCCTGTTCAAGCAAGTCCAAAAATAGTGCACGTTGGTCCGTGCATGTGAGGGTCGAACTCACGACCTTGGCGTTATCAGCACCACGCTCTGCCGACTGAGCTATAACGGACGCACGGTGGATGAGAAGGCTGACAAGGCTGCTATTAAAATATTTCAATCGAAGGAGGTACTATCAGCAGCCAGTATATGGTCTACTCAATCAACTGCAACATTGTAATGGCAACAACGGATAATTTCGGTGGAATATATCTGGAGTTTTTATTTAGTGAAATGTCATCTCGAACTTTCGTAATACTGTGTGGGAAAAATAAAACCAGTTGTTTTCTGAGAGATTAAAAAATACGACATGATATTTCAAATTCTTTGCCGGTTACTCATGGTCACACGCTGTGGCGTTGGCGAATTGGCAAACATTTGAATTTGAGCTCATCTGAGGTCATTACCACGAGCATTCAGTAGATAATTGGCCTTCTAGCTGGTTATTCTATTTTATGTGGCTACACCGTGCTGACGAGACCCAACCAGGTCGAAACAGCTGTCCACGGTTGCATTTTTGGCTTTCAGTTTGGACTCTATCATGTCGTTGTCGCTTTAAGTGTTCTACGTAGTATCAGCCTTGCTTACTTCATTTGTATTAAAAAATAGGCGTTTTCGGCACGAAAAACGGCCAGCGAGGATTTTCGGAAAGGCAACAGCAACTTGCAAGCGAAATACAAGCGCTCTCTGAGCGCATTCTCCCAGTTATCACATCCGCCTGGAACGTGGAAGAGCCAGGTTCGAATCCTCACAGGCGACCCACATTTTCACATAGTATGTCCAATCTTCCTGTTATTACTTGTACTCACTTTGTTTCTTTGATGTAACACTGAGATCTGTCGTGATCTTATGTGAAATATGGATAGATTATTACACATACCAGTTAAAATACTATATGCTGACTTAATCAGGGCTGTCAGGTATTGTCAGCTATTGTCGTCATCAGGTCTAATGTAATCATAGATACATACTCTATAAGTCAGGAGCGATAAGTAATGTCAGGAGCCCATCACTAGGAGCGAGCAACTGCAACCTCGTTCCCAGGGTCTACTCCGCTTTCAAGATGGCGGCTGGGCGCGGAGAAGACCCTGGGACACGCTGTGAAATACTCCACGAATCGTGGAGTATTTTGTCGTCTTCGCTACACTTGACCAGCGGTTCCAGGATTCAATATGGTCGTCTTCGCTACACTTGACCAGCGGTTTCGGGATTCAAAATGGCTACTGGAAGGAAGCTGGCAAGCTTCGTTTTAACACGTTTTACACCAAATTAAGCCACGGAATAACGTTTTTGTGGTCCGTTGAATTTTCGAATAGATTTCTGCTGTCTTTACGCATGATTGGTGAGCGGTCTATTTTATTTAAGGTGAGGTTTATTACACATTTTATGACTGTTATTTAGCACCAGTTTAGCTGTATAAACAACGCACGATCATATAAAGAAAGTCAAGTTAGGGAAGTTGTCGAAAGTTTAAAAGCGGATAGTTTTGGGGTGGATATATTATTTTTTGGTCGATTAATTTGGTTTATTTCGTGCTCGGATCGCGACCTTGTAATTTTTGTTTTTTATAGCACGAAAGTCATGCCCAATTTAATTAATAAAAAAAATATTAATGCAGCATGATCATGGTCGAATCTTTGTGTGATTGTTTTTATTTAGAGGTGATATTTTAAGGTTCATGCTGAGTCAGTACTTTGTGTGTGTTATCTAAATAAAGATTGCTTCCTCCTCAACACTTCAGCATGGAAACTCGCAAACATTTAAACAGATTCAAATTAATTTAGTAAAATATCAAAGTGTAATTTCAACTGTACAAAAAAGTGGGAGGCTTCCCTGCGTGGTTTCTGCGGATGACAATGTTTCATACCCTTTTATATTTAGCTTTTATTTGGAAACCAATAATTACCGTTAAAGCCCGGGGCCGGGGGGCTTATTTAATTTCAGGCCTCAAGAATGGGGGGGAGGGGGCTTATTAGAGAGGGGGGCTTAATAGAGAGGGGGGGCTTATTTCAAATCATAAATTTTCGAGAAAATTCACATTCATTTTTCAAACTTTACTACCTGGGGGGCGGGCGGGGTGTACTCCCTTATGTGGCCTATACGGGGACATGCCGCTGGACAGGGTATGGTTTTTGGCCTCTCTGCCCTGAACAGGGTATATAATTTCATGCACGTCTGTCCTAAACAGGGTATGGTTGCACGACTGTCGTAAAAATACGGTTTATACAGTATTTAGAGATCGGAAACGTTTGCCGCGTATCAGTCAAACGGGATTCGCTAAATAATTTGCAACCTAAACAGGGTCCTAAAATAGAGGATGTCCTACACGGGGTAGGTATTTTAGGGGTTTTTATTGTTTTTTTTTTTGTCCTAAACAGGGTCAGGTTTTCAAACCCTTAGCGGCACCCCTATACCCAAACATGGGTCAAGTACTTCCCCTCCCCCCAGGCTTTACTATTACACCACAAACTAAACAGAACAAGAAATGGGTTATATATCACCGTCTTACAAATGCAGTGTCATTTATATCCTAACTCAATGTTCTGGAATTAAGACCATGTTTCCATACAAAGTGACTGAAACAACAGAAAATATTTCTTTAAATACATTATTACATCAGTCTGATGAAAAGGGGGGGGGGGCGCTTAATAGAGAGGTGGGGGCTAAATAGAGCTTTTACGGTATTTATTATATTTTATGCCCTGGGGTGTACTTTGAATTTTTGGAGGGATTGTGCCATCCAGTACTGAAACCAAAATGTATAACTTTCTGTACACTATTACAGACCTGGGCCAGGTTTTTCAAAAGGTGGATAATGCTATCCACCAGATAAATCACTATCCAGTGGATAAGTATTAACAAAACAAACTACACTATCTGTTGGGTAGCGATTTATCCGGTGGATAGCGTTATCCATCTTTTGACCAACCGGGCCCTGGTCTTTAAGGATACTTCCACCCTTTGAGAGTCAAAAAAATCAATTTTATTTTTATTTGACTAGATTGAAGTTAAGTATTTTTCCTAACATTTACAGAAATTGTTTTTTTTAAATCTTGAAAAGCGCGCGAGTTATTTCGGAAAAGGTATTTTCAAATAAAAATTAATAATTCACAAAGGTGTCATAATCTCTCAAATGCGTGGACTCCCCAGAGTAATTTTCGCGGCAAAGGGCTTCACGCTGGAACTCGTATTTCACTCGCATTTTGAATTTTCACGTGGAATTAGTTGTCCCGCGCCGGGAATGTTTACATGCAATGAAAAAGTCTAAAAACGAAAGAAGTCCTTGGGTAAAAGTCAAGAAAAAAACAGGACCGAAGAAGAAAGCTGAAAAAGCTTTCGCTGAAGAAAGTAAACAAGAGCTAGCGGAAAGCGACAAAAGATCTTGGTTCGGCCAAGATCCTTCAAGCTGTCCAAGCTTGACATCGAATGAAAAATTATCGGTGCGGCCTTCAGGAGCGAGTAGCTTAAAAATAAAAGCTATCGAAAGCACAAGTTCCAAAGAGTATATGTCGGAATCGGACATAAGCTTATCCGATGAAGAAGAAGAATCAGAAGCGAGCGAAGCCACCAAATACTGGAGCATTGTTGACATTAACTTCGGCAGATTCGCCGGTCGATTCGTCTTTCTTCTGACTGTTCTTGCCGCGTTTTTCCCCAGTGTTTTTTACCTTCCCCATTTCGCAGACCGATCTTTCACTTGAACGTGCCGCAGCGAGAAAGCAAACGTGACGGCATTGCGATACTTTTCCCGGGAAATTCTGTTCCATTGTTGTTGACGCCACGGGATCCTGTTTCTTGATTGGCTCGCGGTGCCATGAGGCGATATAATCTCCAGTGGAGACGTGGTTTGTTTACGAATCTTTATGAGCTGAAATCTCGCATTTGATTTTGGGAAGAATATATCGACTTTGACCGAATTTATAGGGTATGTAGATTTAACGGATTTTCGTCAAATTTGGCCAAAACATTACACGGGTAATGACGAACAAAACCGTGTCAGGAAATTTTAATATTTCAAATATTTTTCCCGTGGCGACCATTTACGCAACACATCTCGTATATTTTTAGCCACTCCAACTTTGGACAAGGATATCTAAATAACCAATCAGAATTTCTAAAAAGCCTGACACGGTTTTGTTGATTGATGCCTTGTGAATAACACTGTACAGGTATTTCGCTAATGCGGCGGCATTCGATACCCGATAAATTCAATCGCACAACACTCGGCCGTTTGGGGTTCTACCGGCTCCTGACACTTCGTAAAGAAAAAAGTCGCTTAAATTATATTTTTACCGAAAACTACAGTTATTAAGCTTTCTATTGACATATAGTTTGGTAAGGTTCTCTTGAAACTGGCGCGTGTACGAATTTTTTTCCGAAGGACACCCGCGAAGGGTGGAAGTATCCTTAAAATCCATACCCTATTTTCTGACTACTTGTTTCTGTTCTAGTTGTACACTGGAGAACAATAACTCTATTGAGGGCGGGTACTTATTTATTGTCTATCTGCAGGGGTGGATCTAGAATTTTTGTAGGGGGGGGGGGGGGGGGAGGGGGTGGTGTTTGTTAGCCAATATTTTGTCATTTTATTTTAGCTAAAAACAGTAACAATTTTTACACCTGCCCAAAGTGCTTGATTTTTTGGCGGATTTTGGGGACCACCCAATCAAAGTGTTCACACTTTTCTGACTCACACAAGTAAGGTAGAGTAGCACCCAAAATATATGAAGAGGGCCCTGGCCCACGGTCAGCCCATATTTTGCCCAAATCCTAGTCTCCCAGCCTAATGCTTGCTCAAATTTCCCCATTCCCAACAGCAAAATTGGTGCCCCAAATCCAATTTTTCCAGTGAAAAAAAGGCAAATCCCAGTTCCCATTTTACCTCTTCAGGACCCTATCCCCAGCACAAAAAAATTACTACAGCTAAAAAAATACTCCATAACAAGGATAATAAGATAAAGGTAAAGCAACTTTATTTATACATGTCAATCTTAAAATGAAAATACCTCCTAGAACAAAAAAAAAATTAAAATAACCCATATCACTCTGAATAAATTCATTCACACCTCCCCAACACAA